GATGGTTGGTGCACAAACAACTTGAGGTGGAAGAGAGTTCTAGGTGTTTTTATGCTAATGTAACCACGTTGGCTATGCGTTTTGCACCTTCAAAGTGTAAAATACTGCAACAACCAAAACGAGTACATTATTATGCATGCTTAACCAGGAAACTGCGTCACATAGGTCCTGTTAGGCTCCCTGGCTGGGGACCTCGGGATGATAGTCACCGATGGTTAGCTACACTGAGCGATATCGTTGGGTGTCGTAAACAGTGGCGTTTGTGCATCTCCTCAATTTCTTTGCAACCTTAGACCACTGAAATTCTCCATTTAACTTTCCTTTCTTCTGCTATTCTTCATCCCAATGGGCAGCCAAAAGACAGCAACCAAAACCGGCGCTCGAAATTGCGTAGTCAATGGTTGTTCAAACTGAAAACTTAATGGTTGTAAAAACTGAAAAATATGTTTAACACATTAAACCATCATCTTCTGTTGATCGAGCTCGAAGCCTTTGACAAGCGGGGGGGGGGGGAANAAGATACATAGCTTCATATCTGATTTAACAAACGGGGAAAATTTCTGCATAGAAGTAGATGATTCCAACCCTACCCTGAGCAACGTGATTAGTGGGTTTCTTTTAGGACATGTATGAGCATCCATTCTTTCTTTGCTATCTTATCACTCTAGTCACTTAGGTTTTTCTTCACAGCTTACTCAAAGGTTGCAGATTCCACTGGGCGAGACGATGTGAATAGGGATATTACTACTGTTTTAAGTTCGGCTCTCAAGTGGTGAGACTTACCGCGCAATGCTTAGGAAATTCACCTGCTGTTAAGTGTCTTAGAAGGTATCACCGTAGGGCCATAAGGAGGACTCCTTTACGATAGATTCAGTGAAGTGAGTGAAATACATTGAAATTCTAATGATAGTCAATCTCAGTTGATCAGCCCAATGTCTCAGCAACACAAAAAACTGGAGTTGAGCTTTTCAGACTAAGGGCAGCATTCTCGTACTGTAAACCAGAGGTATTTATACCTTTCTATGAGGATGTAGTCAGGCCTCACTCAGAGTACTGTTTTTAGGCGTGATCATCCTACATCAAAAAGAATGCCATCTGTTTGGTGAAAGTTTCACGACTTGTAATAAAAATGGTAGAGAGATAATGGAGTAAGGACTAAGAGTAAAGGCTTCAGGACCTTTCATTTTTCTCTTTGGAAAAGAAAAGTCTTCGAGAAGGCATGATTGTGACTTTTGAGATAACAGAGGATTGTCACGTCTTAGCCGAAAATCCTGTTTCAGAAGCCTTTTGGTACCCGACTGATTGGACATGATAGGAACCTAGTAGAGGCTCGTTCTGGAGTGATCACTAAGTTTCACTTCTTTAGCAGCAGACTAGCAAACAAGGAACAATCCATCTGTTTACGTAATGAATCTGCTGATCGCCCAAGCATTCAAGATTCCCGCAGATCAACAGTGGGCTGAACTGGTTCCCGATGTGGAGTTCTGAACACCCACCCACCGGGGAGGTGTAATTAGCAAGGCAAAGTAGGGGGCACTCAAGTGCCATGCATTTTATTGTTTCTGTGTGTGTAATCTGGTAGTTTGGTGTTTTCTACATGGAGGTAACATAAAGTATTCTTTCCCTTTTTTGCTGTTTTCAGCAGGAAGGTAAAGAATAACACTGCGCAGTGATGGATGCCAAACTTGAAGGCATACCTTCAAACGAATTCCGGACGCTCGATTGACCGTGGCCAATTTCTGTCTTGTACAAACTGAACTGAACTGTAATCAAACAACACTGCCTTTTACAATCAAGGTAAAATTCATCCGAAGTTTATCAAAAAGTACTGCGACAGTAGAAATTAGGAAGCAAAAGAATCCTGTGGTGGCAAAATCGGAAAACGAGACCGATACCTGAAAATCCCGCAGCAAATCAAAGGTTTTACCACTTAGATCATAGTATTCCAGATGGATTGGTGGGGTTGTCACACTTATAAGAAATTAACGCCTTCCCAAGTTTGTTCGCATCTATACTACAATGTAAGTCCAATTATTTGACATTTTCTCGATTACTAATCCCTGGTAATGTGTGTATTGCTTGCTTTGACCAACCTGAGGTTCTGTATGACTTTTGACAGTCTTTCCACTATACTGATAAAATACGTAGGCAATTCGGTTCGCATCAGTCGCAATGATGTTATTAATTTGGATACCAGTTTTCTAATCACTTTGCGTTTCTAAAACCTCGTCACTTTTCCCGCCGGATTTGATACATATTTAGATTTAGGCTTGGTCAACCTTGTTCATGTACTTTAAGTGGAGTACCGTTCTCTGTTAAGGACATTTGATCACGCAGTTTTCAAATGTTTTCCCACCGTTTATAGTAAAATCAGCCACCGCTTCCGTACTCCATCTGAAAATCAAATAGCCTTCTCCAGTGAACCTAACGAAGCTTCAAAACGCGTTCAGTGACGTCGATTTTGTAGTGATTTCACATTCTGCCCCTTGCGTTTCTTGTGATCGAGGTCTGACCACAAATGAATACAATCATCGAACCGCTTCATTTCACGGGGAACACCATACGCCGAGTGACTTTGACCAAACATCAGGATATCACTCCTCTTCCCACTGCCATCGTTAGAGGTCAAGCATTTGAATAAGTGCAGAACCGCCAAAACCATATTCTCTCCCTAACCGGTATTGATCCCTCAGTGCTTGAACCATTTACGCTTATGCTGTTCAAACGGGACCTTCAGTAAGCGGCTATCGAGTCGCATTTACTTCATTAAATAACTGCGAAAGTCCACTTCCATAAAATTGAGTATGTCGTTTATTGAACAAACTGGAAGTAAAGGGAGATTGTTGTATTCAAACCTAGTATAAACATCCGAATGACTTGGGTGAATGAAACTGGAAATATCTTACCAGTAGCTGAGGATGCTTCATGGTGTCGGCTATTGAAATTTCTTAGTACTGATCGAAACTCGGTGATAACTCCCTGGATAACTTCACAGCTTATTTCATAGTAAATCAATTTTGCTGATATTTCTCCATTCAAAAATTGATCTATTGTGTCTAACTGGTCATCTATGATTGTACTCTTCTTCAAAATAGGGTATGACGGGAGTGACTTGCTGTGTCTTGCTCACCAAATGTTTCCTATTCAATGTAAGTTTGTTCACATTTTCGTTCGCTTGTTGCGTTGGTTTTGCATAATGTGTCTAACTGAGCATGACTGTCTTAATTTTCTTAATTTTCCTTAGTTTACTCATTTCTGCGTTTTCTTTTTTAGTTTCATCGGGAGACGGGGACGAATACTGGACTGGTCTACGCGGTTCTCATTGCGCCATTGATTCTCACGTGGGTAGAAACCACGTTCCTAATATGCCGCGTCATTCCACAGGAGAAAGCTGCTTCCCGTGGTAAGAGTGCTTGATTTTCAGGGTTTTACTGTCCGATCTGTTCCGTTATCACTAACCTCATCATTATGTTTGGTGTTGTTGGCAATGTTGTGGCTGTGGCAATGATCACCGCCTGGCATTTTCATTCATCGCCATGACTACTGCCAGTACAGATAGATATATTTGATCAGTTGAATTATCCCAACCCTGACTTTCGTGGATTGCATAAATCTACCCTTTCCTTCTTTTTGGATGGACGCTATCACATATTTTACAATTCACCAATAGCAGTTATTGTCGTATCCTGTTGTTCATTTGTATTCCGCTCTGGGTAACTGGATAGTACTCTGAACGACAAAACCCAGAGCATATTTTCAATCCTAAATAACATTCACATTTGAGCTTGGCTTCTATGGGCTCATATTCGCCCGTTGGTAAGATTGTGAGTGGCATTGTCATGACCATCCGACCGTTAGTTTTGCAATCCTATTCCGGACGCTTGATATTGGGTGTACTATGTGTCTGCCGAGTGCGCAATCTGGAGCTGTGATAATGTGAGGTGAGTGGTTCCTAGTCGGTTGGTTTCCCTCAGACTTTAAGGACCTAGTTTAGTTGTCCCCAATTTGTTATTCGTACAATGGTGTATTCTCAATGTAGTCCCGGTAGCTGTTTGTGATTCACACGATTCACATCACATAGTGCTCCCGTGTCTTGTTGAGACTCGCACATTTTGTGGACACTAGTGTTCAGCGACGTGGTGTTCACCGGTCGAGTTATGGATTAGAAACTATGTGAGTACAGAGTTTTCGTGTTTACGATAAGCATGAGCTATTTATATTTTCTTTCATGTTCCGCTGTCAATTTTGATGGTCATCTGTACGTTGCTAGCTTGTATAAAATTTAAGTACATTTGTTATGTGCGCGAACTGGCTGGTGTTCTCGCAGTGATAATTATCGCGCTTGTATGGGTCGTTCATTTCATGAGATGACAATGACAATCAACTGATGCATCCAGACTTCTGGTAATGGCATAATGATGGCGTGGTATGAGCTACCTGTCAGCGTGCGATCACCAGAGGAAAACACGAGAGACATGGCTTTATTTGGTTGATCAATAATGCATGCGGTTAAATTGAGAACATAATCAAAGGCTTATAGTTAAGTACATATATATACCCCTTGGTAATGTCCCCTTTTGCCACATTCGTTACATACCATTCGTCTCAGGTGTGGTGACTATAGCCACATAAATCACATGTGCTCCCAATACCACAGATGGGATTGTCGGTTCTCTTTGAATATCTGGTTTGTGATAAACAGAAAACTAAGGGTACAATTCTATTACAATAGGAAAGGTTGGTCTCTGGGCTGTGCCGGGTTATTTAGCTAACTCGCCCGCTTTCTGAGGATCCAGTTTCTTTTTCTAGAATCAACTGACTTATATAACTAGACTGTTTTCATGGTTTAAATGCATCTTGCGATACTCGACCGTTGAATCGTTTTTGTTATCACACTTTGACTAGTTGGACAAAGTGATTAAGTTTTTGATGTTGGACATGAAATTTCTTTAGATGATCTTTTTTCGATTTGATTCGATGTCGCTTAAAAATGCGAATGGTATATTCATTAGTGGTGTGTTCTCTGATGTGTTTGTAAACGCAGCGAGCCAGTAAATTAATTGGGGTGTTCGGTTTGTCGGGAGTTAGAGACTCGACGATGAAAGGGGAGGTGTTACATGTTTGGTCCCAGTAAAGTCAATGATGTCTAGCACCCAGCGATTTTGGATCAACATAGAATATTTGAGGCCTAGTTTGTTCAATTGTCTTACATCTGCGTGCAATCACTAGAGCGAAAGCAAGGGAGAGAGAGTCGGCTGCTGAATTGGCTTTAATCAATTGATAAATCATGCATACAAATATAATAGAGGGAAACACCGAAGGGTAATGTTTTTCACAATGGTCACTGTCAACACAATCAATGAAAATAGTCAGAAAAGGTTTGTAATTCATAGTGTTACTAAGATGCCATTGATGATATGTTGACTGGCCGCTTACGTTAGTTGTCCATACAACCTACTTCGAAAGTGTAATAGCAATGAATACGGATGATCCATTTTTACTGACGAAGGATATGCTGTTTTGGCTTAATTCACAAATATTCAGGTGAACTGATAACAGGCATCGCATATATCACGCCTTTAGATCAGAATGCGCGTGTTTTAAAAGTACAAATCGTCTAAAGAATCCAGTAACTGGAATTGCGTGGTTAAGTTTTATATACAACTGAGTTTAGTGCCTGATAGATCGAATATGTGAGCCGGTGGACAAAAGAATTTTCCCGTTGACTACTCTTACCATCTCAATTCTCTCGAATTGTCATTGCTATCAATGACAAGTGAACTCAATCGCTTGGCAAAGGAATGCAAATCGCGATTCGATGGATCGATAAACCGTTTACGATGATCAGGTGTGCTCGTGGACGTGAATCGCTGAATAGACTGATACGGCCTAGATCCTAAATAGGCCGTGATTGCATCGAATTTAACCACTTCTCTTGTTTCCAGTGTAAATATACGTTTAGCAGAGTCTAACACTGGCTTGGAGATGCAAAGCAAGAAGTAGCAACGTTTGCAGTGGATTGCAAAATTAAATCCAATTACATACTAAATACTGAAAATATGTTTTTTCGAGATTCCCAATTCATTCACCGGATTCTGCTTACAAGGTCAGTGACAACTAATCACATCCAGTCATTCAGTGTCATTTACTTCACAATATAGAAAATATATTGAATGCAATAAAATGAGCGATATTTCGTAATTACTTTGTTACTTCTCCTAACTGATATCACTAGTTTCACGTTAACTTTAATCGTGCATGTGTTTAGCAACCATTTAGTGCGGCATCCTTTTCCTAACCAATTGTGATTATACGCGTCTATCCGTAGACCTAGAAAGCCACATCCTTTGCTTGCCTAGCAGTTGACAGTGTGCCGTTGTCCAAAATCGATATTTGCCTTGATTACGGCACATGGACATCTTTTGACACAACCGAACTTGGTTGTTTAATGTTTTTATTCCTCTACTGACGTATTTCCGTACTCTTTCTAACCGCTTGTGACAATTTGTCGGTCTATCCATGGTATCTATATGATTTTCTTTCCTCCCAGTTGCTTCTTGTTTGCATTTGGATGGAGCCGAGGAAACTCAAAGTCTTCTGGGCAGTCGACTCACCGTGCGCCATGGCATATCCCATTACACCGCAAGTGCTGGCTATTTTACTCCTCAGGGTACGCTTTATATATGCTTCTGTCTTGAATGGAAGATCCCTCTGAAGGAGAAATGTGATAGGTATAGTGTAGGGTGAATATTTGTATTCATCCGACGAATCGCCTTCCTAGTGACAAATTATTGTGGATGAAACTAGAGCCTCATACAATGAAAGATGCTCTGTATTTTCATCTTTTATTTCCTTTTTATATTTCGGTCGTGTGTGTTTGATATTAGATCTGCTTCTCATTTCAGGAAACATCGTAAAGATAAGTAACTTGATTCTATCTTGGAGAGGGATATACAATTATATGCGAAGAGGGAAGTTCGCAGCTGAGCTAAATGAAAGGGAAACACTATTTAACTTTTGTCATACCACCACTGCATTCGAATGGGTCAATCAAACAATTTCATCTGCCGTGGCTCGTGGCTTCGTGAGAATTCGAACCTACCCCATAAGAAGAATCCTCCACTCCATGTTTGACACCAACTACATGGGATGTACAGAACCCAATCCTTCAGGATTTGGGTTTGATTAAATTGATGCTTTCGTCAATCGCAGATGCTTGTCAGAATTTCTTACTGATTGTGAACACAAAAGAAAAGACAGAAAGACAGAATAAATGTGGCTCTCCTTTGCTGATTGCATCGTCTATCTGGACAGTGTAAAGCCCCACCAATTTCTTCTCGTTGGTCTGCGTCCCAAATTATCGCTTTCTGGGCGGAGTTTCATTTACGATCTACTGTGCATTTGTCGATTTTTGTCTTACAACAAGACACTTTCCTTCTAGTCGTCTCGATGGGTAATTGATGAATTAAATCAAGTTGGTTTGTGTTTTTGTGCCCTGTAGATAGATATTCTGTTTGTCTGTTCTTAAAATGCCTGCCGTCTGTTTTCAATTTAGGTTCTGTTTTCGCCGATGATATTGTTCGGTTGCCCGTACCTATTCGGACTACTCGTGAAGCTGCGGTTGATGTAAGTGCTACACACTTTAAGGTCCTAAAATCATTCTGTACTGTATATATCCGAAAATGCGTTGCGTTGAGAAACGTTCTAGCAAAAGTAATTATCTATCGAAATCGGAGAGCACGTTGATATCTAATTAAACTGTGAAAAGTTCAATTTTCAGCGTCTCTTTGTTCGCTTTGTTATAGCTGTCGCCTACCTTTTGTGTTGGTTATTGTTGTTAGTGGCATTTCCACTCGCTAAGCCTGTGTTCATCATCATCATCATCATCATCATCATCATCATCATCATCATCATCATCATCATCATCATCATCATCATCATCATCACCACCACCACCATCATCATCATCATCATCATCACCATCATCATTATCATCATCATCATCATCATCAATCATCATCATCATCATCATCATCATCATCATCAATCGTACAGCGAAATACAGTGAAGCGAACTTCAGTGATCGCTGCCAAACTCACAATGCATACAAGGTTAGTGGTGAAATGTAAGTTGGACAGGGGTTGGATCTATTACGAGGACGGGAGAAGATGAGCCACTGTGCAATCGAACTCTGCATACATACCGTTTCAAGCATTCTGACCTGATAAGAAACGACAACAGAACACCACTGCTGCCGGTTCGCTGCCGTATCCTTCAATGTGTCCTGTCACCAGTTGTGGTGTCTTTCGGACCCCAACCTGGAAGGCGCGAGACACTTACTCTACCTAATGGATTTGTGAATTTCTTTATGCCTCGTCTCCACTTCATCTGTTGACCTCCACGTGGTTTCCTCCAGCCCGAATTAGCCACAGCAAATAATGTGCGGTGCGGTAGAAGATGGCTGGGCATACGCAATACGTGCCCTAGCCACCGAAGCCTAGTAATCTGAATTCGGTGTGCTAGCAGGTTTATACCTGATACACCCCAAACACACGACAGCTTACCTCCACGTTACTAACCCGTTCGCTCCATGTAACATGGGCTAAACTGCGTAAACACTGATAATGGAAAACTTCTAGTCGAACGGATATCTTCTACTTGCGAATTTTGGGTCTGACAACCATTAAGCAGGACTGAACGAACGCTATCACAATTTACGTTCTTCCTGGTAGGGATTTCGTTTGTATCGCGATTCATTGCTCGATGCCCCTCGCCCGCCTTGTGCATCGCCTTTCATCATCACGTTGTCAGGCCCAAAGTAAACGTTTGGAAAAACTGTATCGAGGAAGAGTGAAAAACAAACCACATTTCTAACCACTCCGATGGCCTTTATCAAGTCAATCTAAAGAGTGAGCACATAGCAAACTGTTCGCGTAACGGTCGGAATCGGAATATATGGCAAGGTATGAGTAGGCCTCTGAGTGGCCATGAGAACAACAGTAGTCAAGTAACTCCACGAAACATCTGTGATGTGTGGTTGGAAATGGGGTCTAGAAGATATACTCGATAAAAATACCTAGACATGTTTTTATCACTCATTCTTACTATGCATGAGGTGAACTAGTGAGTTGGGAAATTTGTGTCTTTCTGTCATTTTTATTTGTCTACTATTGTTCTTTTCAAATCATACGCCTCGAATTTTCCGATTTTGGCTCGTTATGTTGCACGTTCAAGTTTTCGTTTCACGTTGTGCCGTTGTGATTCATTCTCTATAATTTTTCGAACGTTAAATATTTCTTCAACTTTTGAAGAAATCAATTAAAATTTAGGGTGTGCGTTTGAAAATTTTATTGTATTCGATCATAATTCAATATAGTGGTCAGATTAAATCAATAAACTGAGCGCTCGTTGTCTTGGTGTAGACCGGCATTTGGCTAATCCAATATCAACATTTTGTGATTGAGAACTATATTCGAAATTCATATTTGTCCATTGTTTTTTTGTGTGATGCACTTTGTATATCTATTAAAATACTTGCTTTACAATCCCAAGTGTAAATTTTCTGATGACAGTTGTACAAAGCGAATAAACGAACGTGAAAGTGCTCCGCCACTCGTTCATGTGTTTAGCTTGTAAACATATCTTAATTCATAAAAAAGTGAACGAGAATAGTGAAATTGACAAGTGGAGTGACAGTGAAATGAAGCCATCCATCTTTGTCTGTAATCGATTGTCTTGATTCGGCTGCTGTAATTCGCCACGTGAAGCTTCATATTTTTTTCAAAATGCACTCCGTTTTTGAACCTTCTTCTGCATACGAATTTTCAAATAAATTTTAAACGATGGTACAACCAGCCATTGATTTTAATGTATTTTTATATTTTTGTACTTTTACCCTTGCACCACAACCCTTTATTGTCTTGGTCTTTCCGTCGATCTCATAACCAGTTAGTGTGAGCAATTCTGAAGTGCTTCACCAGTCGCATGATAATCCCATTGATTTTTCAGGTTTATCTGAAACTGAATTACTGCCTGTCAATATTTATATCAATTATTCTCAGTTGTACATTCAGCGCTCGTTCTCACCTTTCGGTTCATATTTATTGTTCAGTGCAATAAAATAAGTCAACTAAATTCACCCCTGCAACAATTAATAAAAATTAATAACTTCATTTTTGAGACCTCTGTTTAAACCACATGAGTCATGATTTGAATAGTGTCAGTCATGGGTCAAAAATGCATTTAAAACAGTAGCGGTATAAATAGGAAATCATATGAACAAATTTCATACACACACTTTTGTCGATTCCTAGGGCACTTCAGTCTGTAAAGATTTTCAGTACACATGTGCAAGTATATCAGGCTAGCAACCTTCAGCTCACGATCGAAGTTTCTTCATTCCATTCAACTCAACATGTGACCTAGTCACGACTGTCGTTCTCTTACGGTACGAATGAATATCCTAGCATTGTCATACGCTACTTCCACCAGTCCTTTAACCTTCCAGGTAGCCGCTCTCCTCAATCGAGCTAGTTTATTACGTTCGGAACTGTGGTACCTCTATGCTCTCGAGGTTTGGGGGCCGGATCCACCAGCGTTTTGTGACCTGTCCGTTCGTAGTAGCAACGTTCGTGATTACGGACCGAAGGTTTTCCGAATGGAGGTGAGATATACTGATATTATGATTTGCCTTGGACACTGTTTCTTTTCTTATCCTTCAACTTCCTTGGATTAAAAAGATGATTCTGTGGACAATTTATCGGTAGGGAAACATCAGTCAATCGATGTACTACTATGTGGTCTAAAGAAAGGAGGAAAGTGAAACAAGGAAGCTTCGAGCATACGACCTCCGGCGCGGCGATTTATTAATAATTATCGTGTAGCCATCGGTGCTATTTGCCTTCCAGCCCCCCCCTCTATAGCTTGATTCCTTTCAGTAACAATGTCATTAAGTGTAGTAAAAGCTCTAATTTGTGAGTAAGCATTCAGTGACTCATCTAACTAGGATGAAAATAACGCCTATATGTTACATCATTGTTAATTTTCGATAATAGGGTATTTTAATCACTATGCTGAATTAGCGAACGACACCAAGCAACGTTCACAATATTTGGCTTTTACACCACCTCGAATTGTCAATCCAATAATGTATCTACATGCTTCTACTCGACTGTCGTGAATGTTAGTAATCGCGGTGGTGCCATATCACCGTGAATGTCGTAAAAACTCATGCAGTCGACTAAGGTTCATGTGCATAGTAATTAGTATGCACTACCTGATTTACAGTGCCAAACTAATCAATACGAAAAAGAAAAAGTAGAAGCAAAGGAAAAAGTTATCCACTCGGTGGTCTATTAGCTAGAATTTCAGTTTGATCATTTTTTTCATTCCCCATCTCTCTGTCTGAAGGAAAGTAAATAGTCTCAAGGGCTTTTAAAGAACTTCACGAATTCGACCACCCTTCAATTTGGCTTCTAAATATTGTACACCTTATTGTTTGCCCTCAGTTTATGTCGTTTCCCTGAGTTCAATATTCTTCCACCCGAAGCTAAAACGTTATTTTTCTCACAAAAACATATGATATGCCTCATCAGAATCCTATTAAATATCTTTTAACTTATCTTGGCAAAGCTCGTCATCAGGAATTAAAACCAAATTTATGAGTCTTCGCAGTTTGGATGAATTCGAGAAGTCCTGCAAAACCCCCAGCCACACCCGGACAATTGAAACGTGTTGGAATGAATGATCAACAACCGTTCCGTTTTTACGAGCGAAACGCATAAGAAAAGGAAACACGAACAGTGTCATATTGATGACATTCCAGTTAATAAATCATCTAATAGATAGTTTCTCGTCACTTATCTATCACGTCTCGTTTGTTTTACATCACTAGGAGACTCTACCATATGACAGACTGTTTGATCTGAAATATATAGACGACATTGTGCTGCTAAGTGAAGAAAATTGCAAGCTGTTCTGGATAATTTGAGTACCAGAGTAGCCATGTTCGGCATGTGTTTTGCACCTTCAAAGTGTAAAATGCTGCTACAAGATTGAGTTGGTCCGGTATTAACCTCACTTTTACTGGGGAAATAGTAGAGAAAGTGGACAGATTTTGCTGTTTGGGCAGCTATATCTCACCTGGCGGACGCGTCACAGATTAAGTGTCGGCACACATACAGAAGGCTCGTTTGGCGGCGTCGCGACATCCTCCTGCGGCTGAAGGGCCGAGTATATGCCGCAACACTTCGGTCAGTGTTGCTATACGATGCAGAGATTCGGTCATTGAGAAAACAGGATAAAGAGATTGTCGGTCTTTTAACGCCACTGTCTACGTCGCGTTGCACGAATCTGGTGGGGTATCCAAACGAGCAATGTTGGTTTTAGGCACAGAGTTGTATGTAACCGTGGTCGTCCACTGGAACAGGTGGTTTACCTCCGTGGATAACGTTGGTTGGGGCATATGTTAGGAATGTTGCGGTCGAGACAGGAAGTAGATGGAAAAAGGTCAGGGGTGGTTAAACTAAGACCTGGAACGAGGAACACTGGGTATATAGGTCGCCATAGGCTCCCTTGATGGGGACCTCGGGGTAATCGCAACCGGTGGCTAGAGACACTCTCTGACTGTCGTAAACAATGGCGTTCGTGTATCTCGATTTCCTTGCAACTTTGGTCCGCTGAAATTCTCCATTTTCTCTTCGACTCTACTTTGCATTTTTCTGTCTTTCTCCTGCAGCTTCATTCAAACGGGCAGCCGAATTTTAGCACCCAAAACAGGCCCGCGAAAGTGTATTGTTAATGCTTGTGCAAACCGCAAAGTGAAACTCTTTTTTGTGCTTAGGCCATCGCTGGAAATCACGTTACGGTTGTACGTTATGGAAGATACGTCGCATCAAGTGGAAAGACACAGTGGAGCCATGCGTTTTTGTCCACATAGAAGAGCTGTCAAGACAGCGAGTGATCATTTGATTGGTCGGCCGATTGGAGCAGCTGTCAGACTCGAACCCTGTTTATGGTGTCCAAGAAGTTGGCAAAAGTCATAATTGCAATACATGACGTCATTCGTCATCATAAATGTCAAGTGCTAAATGGTGCTGGTTGTTTGTGTTTGGGAAGGGTGGATATGCGTGTTGTACTCAGAGGTTGAATGCGATGACCTTCGCTATGCTCTTTACTGATCGACACTAGAGCAGTTGGCCTTAACTGTTATAGTAAGTAGGTAGATCAGTGTGCGAATAAGCCTATGACCGAGATTCCTTTAACAAACCAATACCACAGGGTATATTCGGGGGGATACCTCAAAGATAATGAAACAAACTTTCATTGACAATGAATTTTTATCAGAATGGAATTCAGTGTCAACTGTCCATATATATATATATATATATATATATATATATATTTCACACTTGTCTGAGGACAGACTGTGTGCCAAACAAACCATGGTACAATA